GAAACAAAGAAGTCTATTCATTTTCAGCGATTTCCAATAATTACTGCCAGAGTTATGGCCCTTGATCACTTCAAAAAATCTTGTGGACGTTCTAGAGGCTAAAGTTAATATCTGATTGACTTTAAATTTATACACAGTGTTAAAGGTCATGAAGCAAAGAAGCCTATTGATTTTCAGCGATTTCCGATAATTACTGCCAGAGTTATGGCTCTTGATCACTTCAAAAAATCTTGTGGACGCTCTAAAGGCCAAAGTTAATATCCGATTGACTTTAAATTTATACACAGTGTTTGAGGTCATGAGACGAAAAAGCCTATTGATTTTCATCGATTTCTGATAATTCTGATCGATCACTTCAATAAATCTTGTGGATGCTCTACCTAACTGATATTTGACCAACAAAAAGATCACCTTAAATCCAAAGATTTTTTGAAGTGATCAAGGGCCATCCGACGATGAAGTCTATTGATTTTCAGTGATTTCAGATAATTACTGCCAGAGTTATGGCCCTTGATCACTTTGAAAAATCTTGTGGACGCTCTAGAGGCTAAAGTTAATATCCGATTGACTTTAAATTTTTACACAGTGTTTAAGGTCATGAGACAAAGAAGTCTATTCATTTTAAGCGATATTCGATAATTACTGCCAGAGTTATGGCCCTTGATCACTTCAAAAAATCTTTTGGACGTTCTAAAGGCCAAAGTTAATATCCGATTGACTTTAAATTTTTACACAGTGTTTAAGGTCATGAGACGAAGAAGCCTATTGATTTTCAGCGATTTCCGATAATTACTGCCAGAGTTGACTTCAGATTTATACAGAGTTTAAGAGCTTGAGACGTGACGTAAACATGACCTGCTTTGATCGAATTTTAATAGGAGGGCATTCCTTCGCAATTACAATGTTTGAGAAGGATTTGAAGCAAACTTATGACAAATTAATTAGTTTGAATATGTTTTTGGTCCATATATACCATTAAATCACCCAGTTTGTACGTGGGAACCCATCTTTAAAAGTTCTGTATACTAAACGTTAGCATGGGGCAGAACTTTATAAAAACCAAACAAATTCTAATGGTTTTCTGATAATTACTTCAAGAGTTGTTACTCTTAATCAGATTTCAGTGTATTATAAATGTTTCATTACCGAAAGAAGTAAAAATATGCGACAACACTTGTTGACTGCCCGGACGATTTAGCTGCTGTGGGCGTATGTTTCGTTGCCTGGCAACCTATCTTTGTTATAAAAATTTCATAGTCAAATATGGATTTTGGTATAAAATAATGATCATAATCTCCAGCCAAAATTTGTTTGAATGTAAATTGTGGAAGTTTTCAAAACATGCGACACAATTTGCTGCTTTTAGTACTTTAAAATCAAATGAAGATATCTTTGCAAAATAATGATAACAATTTCAAGCTAAAAATTGTTTGAATGAAGATTGTTCAGGAGTATTCAAAAGCACAATTCTGCTTTAGTACTTTTAATACGAAAATTACAAAAATAGAATTAATTGTTAAAAAATTGTCTGTTGGGAAAAATACAAAATCTGGAGATGACAGATAGAAAATGAAATGTGGTAATTATTTGATTATTTTAAACTGTTTTCTTGAATTTGGGGTGTACATACACATGACACAATTCTGAAGAACATGTTCAACCTATATTGAAACATTCAACATGTCTGTGCCTTCAGACTTCTGAAGTGATATTGGAAGTTCACTGCATAGCAACTTGTATAAAAGACATTGAAATCGTAATTATTTCATTAATTCACTGTCTTTCTTTAAACTTGTGAAGCAGGGAAAGTAAATAAATCGTGAAATGAAATCAGTGGTAAGACAACCAAGAAGAGATAGTTGATGTACACATTCCCTAATCAATTGAAGTATCATTGATCATGCCAACAATGATCACATCTGGTTTTTTTACCATCCCTCTAGTGAGGTCAATATCCTGTGCTATTATATCACACATGTTTCATCTACGCTTTACAATGTTTAATATCTTCCTCGGTCTAGTAATGTCCTTAAGTACTGGTATGTGCTACAATATTTTGTGGTGCTGCTTTGACATTATTTTCTGATTTATATGCCAATTTGGGAAGAAATATATTTTAATATACACAAAGAATACAAGTAATTAAATAGGCAAGAGCTAAATTTGCCTATTGCAAATCTTTCTTAAGGCCTGAAATGTTATGTAAACTATTAATTAGACTTTTATTTACATGACAAGACCATAATCAACTCTTGATGTCATTGCATATCTCCAATATTAAGTAGATTAGAACAATTCAGCCATACTTTGATTTAATCTAAAAATGGTGAAGAGAGGCTAAGCTTCGAACAACCAATGCGGTTGTTGCAATTATTGCACACATCCTGTCAAACCTTCAAAAGCTAATATCTTCACTCGCAATGGAACAATTTGAATGAAATTTTCAATAAAATCATTTTGCATTATCAATTTGCCAACTATTATAGTAAGAATGGCCAGTTCTTAATCTAAATTTGTCTGCAGTATCTCTATTAAACGATTGAAGGACTGAAAATCGAGACTTCCCTCTATTCCCTCGCAAGATAGGCTTGGCTTGCTCAGTCTTTCTCTCCAAAGATTCCCTTCAAGACTACATTTCCAATCAGTTTGACATAACTACAAAATGCAAATTTTATGTAAATTTACTTTATACTTATCTTTATTATTCTTTCCTTCGTGAAATAAAAAATCAGTTATAATCTTCAGGTACATTACTGTAAAATTTGGGGTTCTTGACATTTAAGTAAAGCTAGAAAAAAAAGAATGATCATATACTTGTATTAGCTGGCTCCATGTGATTTTGCGAGTAGACTATCTTCACTGTTGTACTTCTGAATGATAAAACCCTTCAACATGGCTGCGGCATCGATTTCACAATCTGATAATATTTGTGCATTTATCTCATTGGTATATTGGTCTCTACAGGGAATTAAAGAGCTCTTACCGATGTGATTAGATTAGCTGGAGACACAGTTCATGTATAATAGACTCCTTTAAACTTCATTAGCAAGACATATTTATAAAAATCGTGTGAAACTAAAGGAGGAAAATGTTAAGTGATTTAAGGTGTGAAAAAAGTCTGTGGTTGCTAAATATTTCACACATTAACTGTTAATGGTAAATGGGTATTATTGTAAGCTTTTGTAATTCAGTTTAATATGTTGGAAATAGGAGCTAGGGGATCTATTGAAAATTATTTGGGGTTGTGAAATCAACAAGGTCTGAATATTGCTGCATGAGCCAGGCAACAAAGTCACAAGACATCATGGGGCCAGGAGGCAATGCCCCTTAAAGTTTGTTTATACCCTTAGGCCTTATAAACTCTGTGAAGTACAAGCTACTTTACATAGTTGCTTATTATAACCACTTGGATAATTTATAAACCAGTAAGTCAATACTTAACCTGATATTATAATCTTATTTTAGCCACTTTGTTGGAAATGGCGCACCATCTGGCACTCGCATTGATCTGCCATTGGTGTAAGGTATTTGTTAAATTGGACTGCACTTTTTCATTCTTTGATTTGACCATCTTTTGATTGAAGAAATAGGTCATTTTCCATGTGGCTCTTTTTTCTCAAACTGGAGAATCCATTCAGCTTGTAACTTGATTTTTGTCTAATGTTAAGAAAACTAAAATCACAAAGTTGAAAGTTATATATATTTGACGTTTTGGAATTAACATTAAGTATTTAGGTACATGTACTCTTTGAGCTCAGTCTGTTAACTATAAACTATTAAACAGACTTATCTTACATGTAGTTTGTTATTACGTACTGTTTTAGTTCTACGTGTGCACCCAACTAGATCTTGCAGCTAGAGGCAATGCTGGGAACAAATATTTTGCACTGATAAAACCAAATTTATCTTCGCTTTGTTTACCTTATTATTAGAAATAAACACATTCATGATGTTTCAGATATTTTTGTTTCTAGATAGCAAATTATATAAATATTTTCTTGATCACTATTTCTGTCATAATCAAGCCCTAAAAAATGATGGAAGAAATTGGATACATTGATTTTCGATCAAAGTCTTGAGAAAAAATAAGAGTTTACCCTATGGCTATAAAAAGATTTTTCTTTACTTTCATGTATTTTATATTTGATAAAGTGTGAAATAAGATTTTATTACAGAGTTAATACTATTTGAAGATATAATTTGTTCAGGAACCCCAGAGGAGCTGTCATTTTGCTTCATTAAATCTTTGCCATACCTTCACTTGATTTTCTGTCTGAAATATTTTTATTCTGACTGAAAGTTTAACTGGATTTTCTTGTTTATGTAAAACTATGAATATGGAGTCTATCAACTGAGTGATTCATTTAGAAACTTTCTAAATTTAGCCTGTTCTGTAAATTTAAAGACCTGCTTGGTTTAACCTGTTGCCTTAAAAGGAATTGAATTATTCTAGGTCATTAAAATGAAACGAGACGTTTAAAAGGTCATTCAAATTGAATTCTCTGTGATTCAAACCATGAATTTACATAGCCAAAAAGGTTGTAGAGTTCTCTACAATTGTGGCATAAGAAAAAAAACAATCGAGTTTCAAAATGTTTGGATTGTAATTTTTAAAAGCATTTTGCTGAAATAGGTTATGTTCATTTTTTGACTCTGGTGAGTGTTACAGAAAAAAAACTCCTAATGGAATTTATTACAACCTGAAGGGATTGTTCATAGGGGCATAAAGAGAAACTCGTATAGAAATTCAGAATTAAAATCATATATTTTGAAGTTATCCTCCTCCTCCTCCAATTACTTTCAAATTCAAGAAATCTTGAGAGAATTCTTCGGATTGTGAGCTTTTATCACTTTTTGCAGATATTTCATGGGATTTGATGATATTGATATAAGATTTAGATTGGCCGACTTTGCTGGGGGTGGGCTCATTGAGGGGCCTAACAAACCTCTTTCTACATTTCTAAAATACTTTTTACTGGTATCATCTTTTTTCTTTTCAGAACATAACATATTATTCTTATCGTGGTCGTTTTAGTGAATGCACTGTGTTAGTGACTATCCATAAAGGAAGTGTGGCTCCTCGGAGTAAACAAACATGGAACAGAGAATTACTCAGTATACCTACTGTACCCTCATCACATTTACGTGGTTGTAAGATTATAGATGTACAGTATAGCTTAGAGGTAATCTTAGTCACAATACTATAGTTATAATCACAATTGACAATCACTGTAGATTGGTTTACTATTCACTAATTCAGTTAGAGGTACCCCCAGGCCAATATCTAATATTTAAAATCAAGCATTTACACATACTGTGACCTTTAAAACCAATGATCTATAGATGAAGTGTCAGAGAATCTTTTAACCTGGCATATTCCATAATAATTATGTGGATTGAATGTTGTCAATCTCGATCCCAGAGATAAGTTTACCCTTTGTTTATCTCTGGTAAAACTTGCTGGCCATTTTAAATGTCACGCGATGTATCCTTCCGTCCGCGCTTGACAAAGATCGAAGATGGTACTCAGACTCTTGTTTCTTCAGAAATTTCACGTATTTAGCCAAATCACTCACATTGTGCGCCAAAGTAGTTCCCAGTAATTCATCTACTCGGCTGTTTTTGAATGAACTTAGGTGGAAAATGTTCCAAGGATCATTAATATGTAATGCCAAATTGTTGAGAAATCGGCAGTATTTCATTGTAACAAATCCTGCCAATCAGTAGCCACTGGGGGCGGAGCTTAGGAGACGATTTCACGCTGATTAATGGCTGGCAAGTTTTATCAGAGATAAACAAAGGGTAAAGTTATCTCTGGAATCGAGATTGGAATGATGTATTATTTCTTAAACTTAAGTTAAAGATGCCTTCCCATGTACAAACTGGGTGATTTGATGATATAATAACATATTCAAACTAATTAATCTATCAAAATTTTGCTTCAAAATCCCTGTCAAAACATTGTATGCGTGAGGAAATACTCCAAGCTATAAAAATCTATTTAAAGAAGCCATGTTTGTCCTCTTGCTCTCATGTTTATCAATATCTACATTAAGCGCTCCCTAATGCAAAGAGGTCAGACAATCTGCACATGTAACCTTTGACGTCACTTGAGCAGACAGCCCTAATCAATGGGCTGACATTTAGTGACACCCTCTCATTTTTGTCCTGTGTGCTCCAAGGGTGTTTTACAGGAAATCCAGTACTTTTCTAGTAAGATTGGGTGTCTCTACTCTCCATATATTCCAAAATTTCCATACTCTTATTCGAAATAACCACCCATTAAATACTTCTCTGAGAATGCATCTTTAATTAGTAAATCTGAAAATTGGAAGTCCATTAATCAAACATTATCAATTTTATTACTCCACCAGTGCTTTCATTACTCGACATTGCACAGGTGAAAAATGCCTTCTTTTTTTAATATCCATAATAACGCAATAGTGTATTGCTAGATACTGCACTAAATACAAAATCAATAGCACTTGTAAAAAGACGGTACTAATGAAGTTGTTCTAAAATTTATATAATATCACTGATCATCATTTGAGAGATCATTGCCCCATAACTAATGAAAATAACACAACAGATCAACCCAATTCAACACTTTATTTTGATTGAAATCAAAAGAGTTTGCCTCCTTCGAAGAAATAGATCTTTTTTATCTTTTACATTGATCTTGATTTTACCTTTCTTTTATCTTTTCAGTTGTGTATTAAGCCATCCGGTTTAGGACGTAAAGTGAAACTACCTGTAGACATTATAATAGGAACTGTACCGTTAAAAGATCATGCACCACATGTCACATGTCATCCATTAATTTCACCTGAAGACAGTTTAAACCCCTTCCCCTTTTTCTCTGACTCTAGTTCCGATCAGGTGTTTTTAACTGATTTCTCTTTTCAACAAATGTTACCTACTGCTCCACCATGGGAAGAAGATGATGACATTCCCTGACATCACGATAAAGGTGGGATTTCATTTTGTTTAATTGTCATTATACATACATAGCTTTTTGCACTGAAAAATATAATTTAGGAATATGTATTGTAATACCTGGAAGTAGCTTATATACTAAACAACAAAAAAAACATCAGTACGATTTCAAAATCAGAGAGGCACTTTAATCAAATCATTCTAGAAAATGACTTACTAAATGGATCAAAGCAATTTTTTGTGAACAGTATGTTGACACATTAGTGATTAATTCATCACAATTCCAAGACATTACGAGACGGTTTACAGTCTGTACACAGTCTATACATGAGTATCTGGTGTGTCCACCACGAGTGTCAATAACAGCAGCACAGCGTCTGTACATGGAGTGGACCAGACGATTGATGAACACCATTGGCACCTGGAACCACACTCTCAGATGAGCCTGGCGAAATCCATCGGCTGTGTTTGGTCTCGGTACGATGTTATTAGGTCTCCTCTTAATTTCATCCCAAAGATGTGATTGGGTTTAATTTCGGACTAAGGGCTGGCCAGTGCATAACGTTGACCCGTTCTGCTGTGGACATGGACGTTGTCATGCTGGAAAACATTGTTTCGATGACGTGTGAAATGTGGTATGACGTGAAATCTGAGAGCTTGATCGATGTAGCTAGCGCACTGCTGTGATGCAGCCTCCTCTCCCTGGACCAAGAATTTGGAACACTACAGGACACACTCTCTGGTTCAGGCCGATTCCACCCCAAACCATTATGGTTGGACTGGACCTCTCAATGGGTCTCTTTCCATGACACATGGGTCAGAATAACGCTGGCCTCATCGACGCCATATTCTGGTCCTGCAATCTGTAGTTGATACGCAATACCGACACTCATCTGTGAACAGAACATTTCTCCATTGCCTGTGTCGCCAGTTCTGGTGTTGTTGGGCAAACTGTAGACGTTCACGTCGATGGCGAGGGGTGAGAATTAGTCCACGGTAAGGTCTACGGCAATGGATGTTCTCTCTGGTGTGACGTCAACACACTGTATCGGTACTGATGGGTCTTCAGTGTGTTCCCACTATCTGACGTGCTGTCTCAGATGCCTGTGTGAAAGGATTCTGCACGTGCTGTCACACAACACGGCGTTCTTGTTGCCTGGTGGTAACCCTTGGTCTACCAGTTCGGGGGCGATCATCCATGGTGTTGGTGGCCCGAAAGCGTTGCTGAAGCCTGTAGATGGTCCGAGCTTTGACCTGGAAGTGATTGGCAACGGCTTGGGCAGTGTGGCCAGCGTCGAGTCTTCAAGTGCCTGGTTCCTCTAAGCTGTCGTGAGTCGTAGCTGAGGTTGTAGTGTGAATGATTCAACCAGGTATAGGGGTGTGGTTTATAGGGCTGGTCCCGGTGAACAGCATGTGCAGCATGAGTAACATGAAAATCATGGAGAACACATTACCATCTGAGATGTCAGGTTTGGGAAGGAGCCTTATTGCTCAGTTAAAGTTGGAGATGTGGTTACAAATATACAATAAAAACATTTGGCAAGTTTTATGCAATGCCTCTATTCCGAGTAACATACCAACCTGACGTTTCTTTTGCTGCTTAGTATACAAGCTCAATGGGAGTACAAATTAGTTATTGTATTGCTTAAATTTTGCAAAAAACATCATCTTTTGCACGTTTTGAAGAAATGTGAAGTACCGAAAATGAAAAATTCCTAATCTTTCAGTTCACATGAAAGATACAAAGCAGAAAGCAGTTCCTGCTGTGGAAAATTGACCATCAAAAATATAAGTAATCAGTTTATATGAAGACTGTACATCATGCTAGAGTTTGTCCAACTGGCTTCACTCAACGCCATATGAGGGGGGTTGGATGGCCGAATGGTTAGCGTGTGCGCTGTATCATACGGCCTGTCATTGAGTCAACTGGCATGGTTTCGATTTCCCTGTTGTACGTGACAAGGAGTAGGGTCGCCTGTCCAACCTCGTGGGTTTTCTCTGGTTTCCTCCCACTGCTAAAGACCCCTACGCGCAAGCGAATTATTGAAATAAAATTGAACCATATCTCTCTCTGATGCAAGGGAGACAATTCCAAGATAATTGCAAACTGCAGAAGTCTTCATTGGATGTTTTTGTAACTTCAATGTGTAATTGATATCATTACAGTCATTATATGATATGTTTATATAGTCTGTTAGTACGTTGACAAGTTTTTCTGTTATTTTTGCATATCCATACTCAGAATATGCACTTTGTTTTATACAAAATCTTATTGGGTCCAGAAGCTGCTGGTCAGCATATTGAACATGTACTTCTGTGAATTATAATGTAATTAAATTTTTTCTTCAACAGATTGTGGTGAATGTGAGAATAGATCATTCCTAGAAAATTGATAAACTGAAGACTACCTTAACAAACAAAGACAAAGCCAAAATATAAACTGCGATATCTATAAAGTGTTATTATATTGTTTTGGTGTCACAGAATTTATTATTGTGTTTGTTAAAGGAAATTTAACTGCAGTGGATTGTGGTCAAATGTAGAGTTGTGCTATAGAAATGGAAGTGAGTAAATAAACAAAATGTGAACTAGTGAATGATGTGAAAGGAAAATAACAGGATGGTGGAACATGTTCTATTTTTGTTCATCAAAATACTAAATGAGCAAGACAGTGATTCCCATGGTTTTATTAAATAAGTCAAAGCTGAAGATTGTTTTAACATGACTACAGTATTTAATGGACAGAATTTGATAGCCAAAAAACTCATGACCTTAAAATAATTTTTGAAGGATTGCTCAACATAAAAAAAATTGATATATGTTCTTTTAAAAAGAAAGAGATACATATCTGTGCTATAACTGTTCATTTATAAAATCACCAATGTCAAATTTGACCAGGATCGTCAATATATATTCGCCATTGAGTTAAAAAAAGTTAAACATGCATTATGCAAGAGCTAAATCTGCCTATTGCAGGTCTTTCTTTAGGCCTGAAATGTTTTCTAAAGTATTAATTAGACATTATTTAACTGATCCAGGCCTTAATCAACCCTTGATGGCATCAGATTTCTCCAATATTAAATAGATTAGAATGGTTCAGCGATACTTTGATTTAATCAAATATGGAGGACCGAGACTTAGCTTCGGTCAACCAGTACGGTGGTTGAAATTATTACACACGTCTGTCAAATCTTCAAAGGCTAATATCTTCGCTTGCAATAGAGTAATTTGAATGAAATTTTCAAATTATTCATTTTACATCATCTACTTTCGAACTATTATAGCACGAATGGCTAGTTCTTTATCTAAATCTTGCATAATGTATCTTGAACTGATTTTAAATTGCAGAGAAGTTTTATTGCAGGTTCAAGTATTTTAGCAGGTCTAATATATTTAAATCACTTTGTTGACAATGTTTTTTGTCTTTTTAATATTTTCTGTTTTGTTTGTTAAAAATTTATTAAAATACCTCAGTAGGCTATGTCATCATTTACTGATTTGTTTTACATTATGAATGAAAACTTCATAGATTTATCAGGGCTGTTTTGTTGTCTGAAGAGAAGGCCCAGGCTAGACCTGAAAATCAGTCTCTCTTAAGTAACTTACGGAACAAGAGAGAATTCAAGTGCAAGTTTGGATTTGTTATTTTTAAAGACACATGTTCTAAATTACTGTCAGACAAAATGAAAAGAAATCAGAGAAAGAAATATATTGGGCAATCTAAACGCAACTTATGGCTATCAAAAGTTAACTTTACTTAATAATTTCACAAAGCCATCTTTATTAATTTAGAATGATCAGTCAATGACAGACGAATAACTCATGAACATTAAGATGAAAAAGCCATCCCACTGTCTTATATTGTATTTTTTTTTTAATCATTCAAATTACTGTAAACAACTTTTTTTCGGTCCTTATTTTTATTAAATTAAATATGGAAAAGACTTTAAGACAGACATCTTCCCAGATATGACAAATATTTTTGGAGAGGTTAAAGTTTTTCAAACATGGATATCTTCTAACAATTACACATAATATATTGTTATAAAACATATTTTCTGTTATATTTCTTTACTATTTTTTCTACCTACTGTTCACTTTGCAATTATGCTGTTCATATCATAGTACATTTGTTTATGGTTTTATAGGTACAGTAATAAAGTTTGAAATACTTATGTCATAAGTGATCACATATAGGATTTATGTTCAATAACTAATGATATGACAATTAATATGTTATTTTAAAATAGACATATTTTGTACCTCACTATGAATGCAATTATTAACATTTGTATGTGTATTGTATCAATTATTTTTTATGGCAATAAACAAAATAAAATAAATAAATTTAGTTTGTGATTTCTCCTGATCCCCAACTTGCCAGAATAAAAAAAGTTTGAATAAGACCAATCCAAGGTTCTTCTATTTAAAATAAATTCTGGTCAAATAATTCTTTAAGTGGCGGTCTTTGGTGTCTAGTTATTCCAGTCTACACCAGTAGTATTCTCCTGTGGTATATGTTTAGCCTCGTTCATCGAGTTACTTCATTACAAATGGTGCTCGAAAGCATTCTGGCACACAATTTGTGTGCCAATTTTAAAATTTTCATTTTGTCTTAAATATTGGATATCAGAAGCTCAACTTTTCATGTAAGATAACTACATCAATGTTGATTTAAATTGTCCAATAAGTTGTTTGCAATGTCATTGGTTTCTATTGAACAAGTGAGTCCATTCTTCGTAAAGGATTTTTATACTTATATTAAAGTGGAGGGGGACTTTGAGTCTTGAGATGAGAACCATCTGAAATGTTGGGGGCTTAACAACACTATTGAAAGGTCATGAAATCAATCTGTCAAAATGTTTGCTGAAGTAGATTTACAGTTCAAAAGTACAAATAAATTATATAGTAAACATCAGAAATAAATGAGAAGTGATATCAGGTGTTCAAGAATAAAAATGTCTTCAAAACACATGTCACTACGGGTCTTCCCATATCGCCGACTCACCAGAATTTGGAAAGTCGATGGGTTAAAAACGGATTGAAAGCGTTAATGAGGCAGGGACCAGTCATTATTAATATAGTTCGCTTAAATTGATTTTTATCAGAATTCAACTCACTCACTAATTAATAAAATGAATATAGTTCACTTAAATTACAGGAACCAACAACTCTTTAGAGGGATGGCACGGACGCCTAAAATAATTAATTAGAAAAGCTCATTTTAATATTTTTGAAGTAATATGGCATATTTGCAAAAAGAGCAAAAGACGATTGAAATTTAGTTATTGCAGTATTCCAGCGATAACCACCTAAAAAGAAAAAAATACAGCGATATCAACAGGAAAATTGAAGATTCGAAACATAGATATGAACAAGGAAGAATGAATTTGTTAGAATTTTTGGACTATGTTGGACACTTTATGCGTGCAAAAAGTTAAAATTATGTGTTATGTTATGTGTTAAAGGTTGTTATAAATCTTTAAAAAATAAATGCTCCGAAAATTATCCTTCAGCTTGGGTCTATTGTTCTTGGCTTCAACTCGATCCTTAACGCCGACCAAAATTTTTCCCCAAAAACTCGGCGAGTCGGCGATATGGGAATGAACCGTCACTACAGTGATATCAGATACCAATTATTATAACATACTACATAATAAAGTCCATCTCTGGACAATTTTGTACATTTCTTGGTCGTGGTTAACACCATGAAAAGATAAACTGTAGCATAAGAAAGACCTAATTTATCTCGTCCCAGTAACATACACGGTACCCAATAATAATAAAAACTAAAGAAAAAATGAAATCCCGTATGGAATGGAGGTTAAAGTTCAAAGATTGGGTATATTGTGACGTCATACTCACTTTGACGTCATAGTCTTCCCTTTCACGGCTTTTTGGTGAAGAAAGGCGATTTTTTTTTGTTGCATATCTACAGAAAATCAATTCATATCTTTCATTAGATTAATACTTGTATTTAAACAATATGAGTTTTATTCGAGCTGTAAGTATTTTAATATCGATCTTGGTAATATAGTTTATATTTTAAGGCAAAATTTATAAAACCTTATATTATTGTCATTATGTGGCTCGAACTATTTAACTCTTATTTTGATTTTAAGCTAGAAATTTTATATTTTCTCCTAGGTACGGGATATATTTACAAGCTGTTTTTGTGTAAAAGGAAGATCAAACAGAGTTGCTCCAGTCAACAAGATTTTAGTTCAACCTGCAGATAATCCAGTTATTAACAGAAACATCCTTAGGTTACAGAACTATGAAACATACGTTCCTACAGGTCAGTCATAAAATAGACAATATAATGTGAGATAATACACATGTGAAGTGCCAAATGTTGTTATATAGCATGGGCCACATTATATAAGATAATAGAAATTTATATGCACACAGTTAACTGTCAAATAGGAGTAACGGAGGCCTAATGCGCTGGTTCCTTAACATCCCGATGTTGGCCAAGAAAGTTCCTCGTGATCTTCCGGCCATAACGAATAGTGTTGTCGTTCGGAAACCGAGGTCCCATCACGTGAAAGAAACCTTGGCAGTCGGAATTGAAACTGGAGCTTGCTAGAATTACCCTGGTCTCCAGTCTGGCATATTCGCTTTTTTTTTCACATTGCCGCCATCTGTGAAAATTTTATTTTTTATTTTTTGACGTTTTACTGGCTAGTCTCCGACTCCGTCACCCAGAACCTGATAGTCTTCAACTTACGGAGTGTCTGGGTCAGTTGTCAATATTTGTTTCTGTGTCGTGCCATCAAGACCAGCCAGTAGAGGAGCGATGTCTTCACTCTAGAATGTCTTCAATCAGAATCACGTTTATTTCGAATTCTTCTTGATTCTACGGAATTTATTGTTTCTGGATATACGCTAGAGATTCTACTCTTCAGGGGGTATTAAATTAAAAAAAAAAATCCATGTTTGCGACGGATCATACTTACATTTCGAGCTTATTATTTATTCTTTAGTTGCATCAGTCATCAGTATAAATTAATATATAGGTATGGGCTCCTGCAGTCTAGTTTCCGCAGACCATGCATTTTTCAAAATTTTCCAAAGCCGAAGGGAGAAAAAAAATACCGGACGCCCCCACCCCCTAGAATTAACTTTGTCATGGGGACGTGCCCCGAGAAAATTCCTTAAAATAGACCCCAGTATATAAAATAATATACATGTACTGTCCATGGTCTTAGTCGGTTAGCATATCCTACATGTAATAAAAAGATTATTTCATTTTAAATGAATCTTTAATTTCAGTTTTTCCTGTTCGGCCAATCCAGAGACGATCTAATAAACCTAGACAAGTTGAATCTACGCCAATTTTATCGCCTCGTCCAGTTCACGAAGAAACAGCTCCAAGACTGCTTCGTTCAATGCACACAAAGTTAAGCAACTAAAACAAATGGGTAAAACATCCCTGAACCCAGTGGAAATGACAGTTGTGGAGTTGCTGATCATTGAAATCTACACTTTAGGGTTCGGGGATTCATTGACCAAACATAAGTTCAGAATAGAACTTCAGTGACGATAGTGCTCACGTTTGGGGAGCAGGGATTTGAATCAGTACCCTTGGTGCATCATTAGTACCGTATGATGAAAAGCGGCTAGTATTGACAATCACAAACAATATATATTGAATTCCAGCTCACGAATTTTTGTGCGGTGTTGTAGATCACTTTGGCAGCCATAGTGGTTGCGAAGTTCGTTGGTAAGACGCTGGCTCGCTAACCTGGAGGTCGTGCGTTCAATTCTTGCATTGGCCGAGAAAGTTCATCCAGATTTTCCGGCTTGGTTTCCCTTGTCAGTGATGCAGGACGGAGGGCCTGACATGGACAGCTGTCTAGTCCTTCGGGTGGGACGAAAAACCGAGGTCCCGTGTAAACATCGGCGTGCACGTAAAAGACAGTTGGAATTCTATATAAGAGTAGGCTGTAGTGATGATACAGTGTCCTGGTGGCGAAAGATACCAGACTTTACTTGAAAACAATAAGTCTTTGGTTATGTATTGATATTCGAAGAAAACGCAAATCTGTTTTAATAAGGAACGTTTGGGTATCCTAGCTAGCGCTAGCTGCTCTTGAAAACACTAAGTCATTGGTTATGTGTCAATATTCAAAGAAAAAGTAAATCTGTTTTAGTAAGGATGTATTTAATTTTGACAGTCATATTGTTATAGAAGTTTGGATATCCTAACTGCTCTTCCAAGTCTAGGTGGCGAAAAGATAGCTGACTGTTCTTGAAACATTACGTCTTTAGTTATATATTAATATTCAAAGAAAAAGCAAATCTGTTTTAATAAGGATGTATTTCACTTTGCCCGTCATATTGTTACAGAAGTTCGGGTATCCTAGCTTTTCTTCCAAGTCCTGGTGGCGAAAGATACCTGACTGTTCTTGAAAACACTAAATCTTTGGTTATGTGTCAATATTCAAAGAAAAAGCAAATCTGTTTTAGTAAGGATGTATTTCATTTTGACAGTCATATTGTTATAGACGTTTGGAATTCCTAACTGCTCTTCCAAGTCTTTGGTGATGGGTGAATAATCAAAGCAAATCTATTGTAAAATAACTTTTAATTCTGTCGTGCTGCTGACGTCTGTATAAAATTCTATTGACAACCCTGCTGCTGTTCCAAGTCCCGGTAGCAAAGTTTGCCAATATATCGGTACATTGTACAGAGAAAATGTTCACTGACTGCATTAAAAATTGATTACGTTGAAAAATGTATGGTTTGAAATATATTTATGTACAATTTTTGTCTAAATTAAAACTAATAAAAATAGATAATTTGTTGATTTATCGGGGTTTTATTTTTACCGAGAATGAGATCAACCACTATGAAAAAAATAAACATGCATACAAAATAATCTACCCGTGCTTCTATGAAATAAACGAAGCCCATGTGTTTAGAGCTAATTTAGGGGCCCCTCTAATATTGGGGCCCAGACCCTATTAATTTCTAGCATCGTCCGTCAACAATATCCCGTTAAAGAGATGGGTTTGAACATTTGTATACGGCCAAATTTAGTGGGACTGTGAGTGCATCATCCCCATAAATTTTGTCATTCTCCGTTGGTCTATCCGCCCGCCCGTGCGTCAGTAAATTATTGTAGAAGTTCTTGAATGATTTTTGTCAAAGTTTATGTGAAGCATTTGAACCTCGACAGGATGGACCCTATTGATTTTCACTGTTACTCGTCCACCATTTGGAAATGTAACCGCTTATCTTCGTAATATGAACACTCTTAAGGCTAGACCCCAGAGTCACCAAACCGAAAAATGCCCATTTGACTTGGGTGACTGTTTCCAGTACTAAGGCA